ATGTAACCAAGATCCAACTCACCTGCGAGGGTGTCGTCACGTACACAATCACCTGTGAGGACCCTGGACAGAGCCCCCAGGGTCATTCAAGTTAACAGGCTAAAACGAACAACCGACAGCCTAACCATATCAGGAAAATTGAATAAAATGGACGTGATATGCACCCGAGACACGGGGGCTGCAGTTTCCTTGGTACGCAGCGACATCCTTCGACCTGAAAGCGTGAAGCCTACTTCTTCCAATTTCGTGCTTCGAACAGTTACTGGTGAAAACGCACCTATTCGAGGAGAAGCTGAAACAACACTGATTCTTGGGCGACTCACCATTATTGATACAGTGTACGTTGCAGACATAGAAGATGAATTCATACTAGGAATGAATTTGATCACTGAGTACGGCTTTTCATTCGACATCGAAGAGAGGATTATGAAGTTTGGAGGAGAGGAATTTGTCCTTACCACTCCAACAGAAAGGGTAATACCTGTGAAACTGCGCTGGTTTTTCGGAGAAAGTAGTTTACGCGATGAAGACACCTGGTGCTATGTTGGAATAGTCCAGTCATGCAATGATTCCCCAACAAATTAGTTTTTGCAAGAGCCTTAGTAAAAACGAAACAAACCATCCCTGTGAGAGTTGCCAATGTGTATCCTGAAGCAGTAACAGTTAAAGAAGATGATGTCATAGGAACCTGTGAACCAGTCACGTGGGTGGCGAACTGTGATTCAAACGACCACCAGGAAATAAAGGCAGCCTCTAAAAGTGTTATGACAACTCTTGAGAAATCACTCGAACACTTATCAGAAGAAGAACTTAAAGCTGTCAAAAACTTCATCAAGAACGAAAGCGATATATTTGATTCGACAACATTCGGAAGAATCAACTTGTTTAAACACAGAATTGATACTGGACAAGCCCACCCGATTCGACAACCCCCAAGGAGAGTTCCGTTTGCCAAGCAGCAAGAGGTGCAAGATTACGCAGACGAACTGCGAGATAGCTTGACAAGGAACCACGAAATTGCTACAAGAAGATTAAAGATGACTAGTGACAGGATGAAGGCTCGATAAGATGTCAAGGCAAATACTGGTGGATTTGAAGAAGGAGATCGAGTGTGGCTGTACAACCCTTGTCGTAGAAAAGGAATTTCCCTCAAATTACCACCATCTTGGGAAGGACCCTAAACGATAGTGAAGAGAATAAATGACGTGGTGTATAGGATTCGACGTAGCCCCCGAGCAAAAATGAAGGTCGTTCACCTAGAAAGACTCGAACGATACAATGAGGGGACCTCAATTCGACTAAGGGACCTCTACCTGAGCATGACGTCACACGCGCGGTAACTGGAAAAGTCTCGGTCAAAGAATTCCAACGTCGATCTTGAGAGCGAAACATCGCGATGGATATGGAACTTGTAGAAATTCTAGATGCATCGATCTTACTATAAAAGAGCGAGTTCCTTCGAGAGGGGAGTAGTAAGATAGTGTTCGAAGTCTCAAGCAAGCGAGTATTCTAAGTGAATTATAATCAGGGCAGCAGTTGTGTTTTAAAAACGAACCCCAAGTAAATATCGTAACAATATTTTATACTCTTGAGTATATAACCGGTGATAATTATCAGAATATTTCTTTATAATATTTACTATTATTTATGATTTTATATATACAAGGTGTTTTGTTCTTTTTTTGACTGTTCCAATATCATTTGAATTGTGATCTAACTGGAATAAATTATTATCATTATTATTATATTATTATACAAACCTGTAGTATCTGAGTGAAGAGGAACATCTGTAGGCAGTAGCCGACCAATATGCCAATAATAACCCCTACCAGTTCGTGGGTGTGTTTCAGAACTGAATGTCCATAACTGACGAGCAGAATCATCAACGTGGCTGAATAATAGTTCGAATACTTTGTATCCCTCCAGAACCGCACGTCTACATCAAACTGAACATCCATGAAAATGCCGAATTGAAAGATAAGGGAGTACAGCCACTGCAACATTATTACATACAATAAGAGTGCCCTCAGCGCTCTATGAAAAACGCTCGGTAAGTTGGTATATAAGCGGAAGAGTTCCAACGCTTCTGCCCATCTCTTCAAACGTATTATTCTCCAGCTGTACAAGAATCTCAATACCAGGATAAATTTCTGTAGAGCAGACGTAGGGTGTATCACATAAGTTAATGAAAAACGAGAGAGCAGGATTGTCACGAAGTCCAACAAAAAATAGGTCTTCAAGTAGTGTATCGCTATCTTACTTTGCCTGAGGATGGTCCGGTTTTTCACGCCGTCGTAATATCCAGTGAAAAACATCTTCACAATATCTGCAGTAATGATAAGATCCAGGTAAGAGATGAACATATATGATAGAGTGATATGTCGTTGAACTTTTTCAGACGTTATAACGGTAAGAATGAAGAACGACGCTGTATAGCAAATAAAGATCAGGAATTCCCAGTAAAGAGCAAACATGCTCAAAGGGTGAATGATGTGGAAATAGTTGGCCAGATGTTTGATTTCCTCGTTTCGGATAGCGTTGTTGGATGTGAAGTAGACCGAACTCATCGGATGCTTCTTGCTTATCATTATGAAACTGTGGCATTTTCTTCGGAGTTTTATGAATAGTCCAGAGTCGATCACTTGGCAGAGAATGGTAGGAGGAGGATTTGGTAGACGACACTGGTGCTCTTTCAACATGTTCAAAGACACCACTGACAGAACTAGACAGTCAAGTCAGGTTGTCTATTTGTTATTTTGTGTCATAGAGCAGGCTGAATTGTTCATACGGGATGATATATTGTGATACTCACAGGGTGAATGATGTGGAAATTGTTTTGGCCAGATATTTGATATCCTCGTTTCGGATAGCATTGTTGGATATGAAATAGATTAAACTCATCGGATGGTTCTTGATTACACTAATTTTCAGCCGGTTTACGACTGTAATGTCAAAGGCAGTCCTTTCTTAATTTTTAGTCCCTAAATGCGAAAATGATAGTAAAAATTTCCTAACAAGTAAGATTTTTGAGTTATGACTTTTTTCACAAAAATTTAACGAACACGACATTCCAAATAAGCTTTTCCCCTAGATTGAAGAAATTGTTTAAAATCTGGCAACACAGCGGCTCTGTCCAGTATTCGAATCTGCTTCCGCTGTATATGAGACTTGTAACGCCGCTTCTCAAACTTCCGATACTCGAAGTTTCCAGAAAATACCAGAAATACGGAACCGCTATAAAAGTAGCAAGTTGACCATCGGATCATCAATATTAGTTTTGCGCTAGTAGTGATGAGTTAGTATAGATAAGCGAGGTGAGCAAACACGTGAATATTAAGAGCATTATATTAGTAATATCTTTGTGAATAAAATAGGCTGACAACTGATCTCGAAGGCACTGTATCCATTCGTTCTCAAGGTCACTTCAAGGTATTTCATTTCCCTCTCCAGATGTTCTGGTTCACATATTCTCCGAGCCCGTTCCGTTAGAGTTGAGATAACTCCTCTCTTTTGGCTAGGATGGTGGTTCGATAGTGCGTGCAAGTATCTGTCCGTGTGTGTGGGTTTCCGATACACTTTGTGGGTTAGTCTGGTACGACTACGTTCTACCAATACATCTAGGAAAGCTATCCGTTGGTCCTGCTCAATCTCCATGGTGAATTTATTGCTAGGGTGTTGGGCGCGAAACCGAAGAGCACCACGGTTCAAAAAGCGAAAAAGGATTAGATGGTTGCACGCGCATATCTACCGTTTATCCCTAGGGTCACGGACATAATTGGAAAACTATTGGATAAACACGACATCGAAACAGTCTTTAAACCCACGAGGAAGATACAACAAAGCCTCAGGTCGGCTGAAGACAAAAGAGACCCATTATCAGCAGCAGGGGTCTATCGCATACCATGCACTTGTTGGAAGGTATATATCGGAACCACCAAACGATCCATGGGAACAAGACTGAAAGAGCATGAAAGGAACTGCAGACTAGGTCAAGTGGACAAGTCAGCTGTGGCAGAACATGCACTTAGTGAAGGAGACCACATAATTTTGTTTGAAAACACGGAACTAATTGCCCCCAACCAGGGATACCATAGCCGATTGGTACGGGAGGCAATAGAGATCCACAAATACACGGTGAATTTCAACAGAAAAGAAGAAGCGGTAAACCTGAATCGAATATGAAACACCTTTTTAAGGAATTCGAGAATAACGAACAGAATTACAATAGGCAGCAAGATTATCAATGATCCAGGTTCAAGTACAGGTACAAGTGCAGGTACACTGTTAAAAATGTATGTAAAATTACAAATGTATTACAAAACAAATGACTAGTTAAATTACAAATCAAAGTGTTGCCAATACAATATTCAACACGATTTGAGTAATTTACCAAAAAATATTTGGAATCCTACTAAACTGAGTCGTGATTTTACAATCATCATCNTGAGATTTTTAAAAATTTTACTATCCGGTATCCGGCTGGATACTGTATTACTATCCGGTATCCGGCCGGATAGTTAAAACGAGGCCGAATAGGCCGGATACCGGATAGTTACCGGATATCCGTTTCATCTCTAATAATAACACTCTTTCATTCTACAATAATAATAAATTGAACGCTCCTATGAACTTTTTCCTCACCGATATATGTGATGATGATATTTTGACTGCTATAATCTAATGCTTTAGGTATTGGCAATATAAATATTGCCAATATTTATATACAATACAATATTTTTTTAGTTTTTTTCAGAAGACGTAGTTCCGGCAGATTGATGAGTAGGTATATCCCAATAAACAAAAATATACCTAAAGTTACTCTTTCAATTTCAACATTTACATGCATATTGTATTTTCAATATAATATTCTTAGTAGGGAGCTACTTTGACATATCTTCTCAACTGTTTAAGAATGAATTGTGATCTGCTAACCAAAATACATTGAAATTCAGAACAATCAGAGTAACTTGAAGAAGTACAGATGAGTTTTATTGTTTCAGAACTATATGACCGGGCTGCTAGTATTTGTGAAAAATATACAAGCCCTTTGAGAATATGGCTGGGACCAAAATTCGTGTTAGTTATCACAGATGTCAATTTGGCACAGGTAAAGTTGATTTGTAGGTAGATAACTTTGTTATATGTTTCTAGTTTTCCATTATTTTCTTGCGATTCTCGGTTCTGAATCAGTTTTTGTTTCTGACTGAAGCAATTTCGATTTTCTCGATCTTCTTTTCTCTTCCACCTCCTCTTCCCCCTCCTCTTTCATGTGTTCTCCGTATCACCCAACCAATTACGGTTTTTTCTGCTGAAAAATTTAGTAAACTACCACTACATTTTCCGATTTCTGAATTGTAGGTACCTAATTCAGTACCACGATTGTTTTTCCTTCCTAGATTTACTAATTTCCGCTATTTGTTGAGCTTTCAGTCGTATGAAAATGATTTTCGTGTTCTTTTCGACTTATACATCAATTAAAACTTCATAGTTTCTTCTGATTTTATTCATTGAACAACGATGAAAGTTTGTTCTTTATAGTCCGGTCAATTTAGACATTCGAAGCTACCTAAATTCCCAACAAGCTGAAAATCAGTAATATTGTTTAAAATATGATTAAAAATAAAATGAAATAATTTGTATTGTTTTGGATATATCCTACGCCAACGGTTTCTGTTCTATCGGCCACTACAATTTTTTTGCCTATTAACTTTTCCACACATTTGTTTGAATCTCCTATAATCTCTCAGATCAAATCAGGCGACATCGAGAACGAAAAAACTTAGTTTCAAAAATGATTCAAGTTAACATTTTGCAAAAAATATTCCCCTTTTATTCAATTCATGACTTTCCGGGCAGCGTGTACAACATGTTTCGTATGGTTTTTCATCAAGTGTCAAAACCTCTTTAAAGATTTGATTTTTTTCCGCAGAAAGTAATGTCGTCATATAAATTCTCTAGGAAAGATGACATATATCGATTTCTTGAAACATTCGATGGAAAAGGGTTGATCACCTCGAACGGTGAGTATTGATACTCATAATCTTAGAACAATTAATATGTAACAGTTGGGCTAAAAAGTTCCTCGGCTAACATAGAAAACATTTTTTTTGGTAAAAATTAGATTTTTTTATTCAATATAGTTGTTTTCTATGGCGATACAACGATTAGAGCGGTCATACACATTTTTATAGTACGATTTGTCTTCAGCCTCGATATAGGCCTCAGTTTTGACGATTAGCTCTTCATTGGCGCCAAATTCCTTTCCAGCGAGCATTCTCTTGAGCTCTGAAAACAAAAAAGTCGCTGGGGGCCAGATCTGGAGATTACGGTGGATGCGGAAGCAATTTGAAGCACTGTTCATGCAATTTTGCCATTGTTTCCATTGATTTGTGACACAGTGCACTGTCTTGATGAAACACGCAAACCAATAACGTTATGTAATAGTCGCTGTTGATAGTTTTCCCTTTTCGAAATAGTCGATAAATATAATATGATGCACATCCCAAAATACTGATACCATATAACCTTGACAGCTGACTGTTGCGTCTTCGAACGCTTTGGAGCCGGTTCACCACGTCTAGTCCACTCAAATGATGACCGTTTTGATTCTGGTGTGAAATGATGGAGCCATGTTTCATCCCTTGTCATATATCTACTGATAAATTCGTTTATTTTATGGTGGAACGGCTTCAAACACTGCTCAGAATCATCAATCCGTTGTTGTTTCTGGTCGATCGTGAGCACGCGCGGCACCCACTTTCAACAGAGCTTTTGCAAACTAAAATATTCATAAACGATATGTCCTACACGTTCCTTTAATATCTTTAGAGCCTTAGCTATCTCGATCAACTTCCCTTTACGGTCATCCAAAATTATTTTGTGAACTTTTTTTATGTTTTCATTGGTCCACTGTGTGCATCGTCCTAGGTGCTCATTTTATCTCGTTTAAACTTAGAAAACCACTTTTCAACGGTTGATTTTCCTGGTGCAAAGTCCTAAGGATGTTTATCCAGCCATGACTTCGATTCAACACTATTTTTTTCGGCAACAAACAATGCTTCATTAACACACGAAATTCATTTTAATCTATTTTCTTCACAATAAAAAAAGTTGTATCACTCAAAATGTGCTTTTCCAAAAACCAATACTCAGCTATGAAATTCGTACACGTGGCTTTTGAAGGTTAGAGTTAACTGAAATGCATGTGGATGCAATACTAGCAGTGCCATCTGTGTATTAGCTTGTGAACTTCTTAGCCCACTTCATACTTCATTCACTGACATTTTTGAATCGATTTTCAGGAACTAAATGGAAACGTGACAGACGTCTAATGTCTCCCTTATTTCCAAAGAGAAATATTCAGCAATATTTTCCATCTATTCTTCGTCACACGAAAACTCTGATCAGCATCCTGGAAGATGAAGTCGATGGAGCAACGATTAACATTGAACCATTTATTCATAGGTGCTCAGCAGATTTCGTGAATGGTATGCATCAGAATTTCATTTTATATTTTATAAGTTCGTTTCAACTACGTAAAAAAAAAATTTGGGTCACTTATTTATCAACTTTCTTCACGTCGCGTCGATAATACGACGATAATAGCCCCCTACCTTAACTTTTGAACGGAACAAGATATACAGGGCGAACTAAATTTACATAAAAAGCAATTGCTCCATAATTGGTCCATCATTGGTCTGGCAGACATCACATAAATCCAATGGATTTGTTTGGGACCTAAATCCCAAGTTTCACCACAAATCCTTCAACATGTCCATAAGGACAATCTGGCTTCGTATAGAACTTTTTCCAAGTGAGAGTTCCAGGTGAGTACAATGCCAAGATATTTCACCTCCGTTCCAAATGGAATGACCTCACCATTGAGGGAAAGTGGCGATAAATCGTCCAATTTTCTCCTCCTGGCGAAGGAAATAATAATGTATAGTAACCGAAAGTAAAGTTTTCTTTATGAAATTCACGAGTAGTTTATTTGTCATTCGTCATTATTAGTTATGAATATGATGTGGAGTAACGTACGTTTTTTTTTTCAGAAACAATATTAGGGACAAAAACGAAGGCTCAATTTGGTCAAATGGACAACTTTGTCAGGACACTCACTAGGTAAAGATTCAAATCTCATTTTTGTTTCATGTAAATATAATATAGGTATTTTTAATGAAAATGAAAGAAAAAATTAACAGAGAGTTCAAGTAAAAAGGAGGAAACTTCAAGACAAGAGATTCTTCTTCAATCTAGACGATAACCGGTTGAGCTGGTGTGAGTGATTTGTTCCACTGATTCAATCGACCGCTAGATGAAACGTTGGTTCGATCCTACAAGCAGGACGATCGATTTTCACTGGCTGAGAACGCATGCACATCAGACCTCGTTAATTCAGAGGGTTGTCGTTCTCAGGAGGGCGATAGCTGGTTACCGGAAAAACATGTGTCAACAGATTTTAACAAAATCTGAATATGACCAACAAAAAAAACTACTAACGAGTTAGTGCGGAAACAAAAAACATGGACGAAACGGTGGTTCGACCCCACAAGTTGGACAATCGATTTTTACTGCCTATCGCCCAACCCGCGCTGAGAATTGCACGTAGAAAGGTAAGACCTCGGTAATCCTGAGGGTTGTTCGTAGAAGGGCGACAGCTGGTTACCAGAAAAACTGGTTTCAACAGATTTTAACAACATTTGAAAGAAACAGAATGGCATTTTTTAGAAGATGACCAAACTTGAAATAAAACTACTTACGAGTTTGTACGGAAACAAAAAACATGTATGAAACTTAAGAAATGGTACCGATAGAAGTGACCTCAATATGGCCTGTTGTTTGGAATTCAACAAAGCTTTGAATGAAAACAGTACCAAATCGCTGAATCGCAGTGGAAACTAATTATTGACGGAATATGATTTTTGTCATCACTGAGAAACACTGATTCCTCAATTTACTAGGCAAACTATAATCGCACCTAGATATTTTGCTATTCTGTCAACGTAGCACAAGCCAATTGATTCCGTCAGCATTGCGTACTCAGGATTTGATGAAGTCGACGATGGCCGTTTTTGGCTAATCCTGATTGGCGAAGGCTCTACCGATGGGAAAGTTATCGAAGTGCTTGAAAAGATGATAGTCGATTGGCGAAAGGTCTGGGAAGTATGGTGGGTGAGGTAGAACTTCGACCCTCAATTCGTTCAACTTTCGGACGGTGATTTGTGAAACGTGCGGACGGGCGTTGCCGTGGAGCGGGTTCGGACCTCTTATGTTAAACAGTGCCTGCTGCTGCTGATGATGATGCATTCTACGGTACGCGGTGTTGATTTCCTCACAATAGGACTCTGCTGAGATGGTTTGGCACGGTTTTGGCCCGGTTGCAGAAAGTTTAGTGAATCACACCAACTGCTGACCACCCTACAATGGGGAATGTTCCTCCTGACGAAAATCAAGTAGTTTTCATAAAAGAGCTCTAAAACAACGCATTTTAAACTTATCATTTCAACCTTTTTTTTAATTATTTAAATAATTAAAAAATAGGAATGAAATAATGCATTCAACATTTAAAGGGATTCGTTTCCATTTCACCATTTGGCAACATCGGTTATAGCTAATAAGAGACAATGAATTTGTTACCTGTATGAGACAAACAAAGATGACATATTTCAGAGGGGTGCTGTTCTGTTTATGTTCCTGTTTACTTATGTTTACATTCTGTGACATGACATTTTGTGCACTTAACCTATCTTCCTCTATATAAATAAATAACAAAACAACTGTTGTTTATGTGGCTTGTGGAGGTGGTATTGAACTATAATTTATATTTTGCCTTAATTGTTGATTTATAAAAATAGTTTTCCTTTTTTTAAGTAGAATATCTAGGTACGTATAAATTATGTCAACTTGATATAGGCGCTGTTGCCAATATGTGAATTAGAAACAAATCCCTTCAAAAATTAAAACCCAACATTTGAAACATCAATTTGAATACTTTTCGAAGTGAATTTGGAAAACTCATGAATTAAACTCAACTTTATTTTGTTCAAACTTGCATTTGCTGTAATAACCCAAATTGAGGAACATTCCCCATTATACGTTATACATTCTTCATCGACTATTGGCTAATTCAATCACATATTTTTCTGCAACCTTCTGTTGAAAAATTAGATAACGAGAACGTTTTCCCATATGCACCTTCTGGTCTATGGACTTCTCAGAAATGAGGGTGATGGAATACCCCCACCGCTTTTGCCACTCATGTGTTACCCTGTCTGAAAATTCCCCTAACTATTTCAACCCTTGATCTTTGCAGAAGGGTGCGTGGCGACTGTGATATTTTGATATAATAACCGCAAGTTTATCGGAAGGTTGGATTTGGATATCATTTATAATTTTGTTACTGTTCGTTCATGTTACAATCAACTCATTATTTCTAGGATGTACACGATAATTCATGCACGTATAGTCAAAGTTTGGCTCCAAAATGACTATCTGTTCAAATTATTTCCTTATTATGATGAACAAGAGAGGGGAAAGGAAGTTATATTCGGTTTCATGAAGAAGGTGAGTTTCTAGAATATTTTTGAAATATTAGTGTAATTAAAATATGTGATGTTTACTTCTGTCCTATTGGTTTTTTCAAAAGTTTTGTCTGTTTTAATGAGTCTACTTTCAACTCTTTTACCTCAGTGAATAATTATTTAGTGTAATAGAAATGAGCGCCATTGGAGTCAGTGCACTATTGCCAACATAACACAAGCCAATTATTTCCGTCAGCATAAAAATTGTGTGTTTATTTGAAGATGATTGACAATGTTTCATGATGAATTTCATTAGTTCGGACTTCCATGTTCTGATATTATATGAAACGACTTCAAATCCATGAAAGAACTAATAAAAAAAAGAATTAAAAATGAATAGCTAAAAACAACAATTATATTAATCAAATCATGGAAAACAACAAAAATCAATTGGCGCTCCGAAGTAACTTCATTGATTCCAGTGGCGCATTTGCTTTTTCAGCTGCAGGAAAACCCGGAAAAACCTGCAGCACCAAATCATCTGAAGATCTTGATCTAACAATGTCGTCTCTCTCATAAAACAAAATGTAGGGTGTCTCCAGAGGCTCCAATAAATTCAATACATCGCCAGAACACTTCGTGACACGACAATCGTCAAACTTAAGCAAAAAACCTGAAATGAAATAATAGTGAAATAAAATACCAAGTTGAAATAGAACAATTGAACAAAAACTAATAATAAAAAGTTAAGATATTCCAAGCCAAGTTACTTCATTTTGTTTCGGTTATTAGTATCCTCAATCATCTTCTGGTGATGAGTGGACTAATTCCTCCAAGAGATGACTATTTATGGGTCATTCGAGTACTTTCACTTACCTTTTTCCGCTTCACCGTTATAGTGGGAGATGACTGTTTGGCGGGAGTTGGCCATTTTTCGCTTAATTATAGGTTTCCATATGTTGCGTATCTCTACGCTAGCTTGGCTGAATACATTGTTGGACAACATGTATGCGACAAAAAGAGAAATTATCAAGACTCTATTAGACCGTACTTTCGGGATCTGTGATATGAAGGAAGGTCTCGAGAAGGAACTAGACATCATCAAAAATGATTTTCACGGAATTTGCGATATTGATGACTTATTTATTTTGTGGAAACTCATCTTCAATTAAATGATATAGATGTAGAATTAAATTCACTGTAGAAATGGAACAAAACAATGAGCTTAACATCTTGGATTTGAGCCTTTAGGTCCATGATACACAGAGCATTCACAATCCCTTTACCTGAAGAGAATTTTCTGAATATATTGAAAGTCATCAAATAAATAGTGGTCAACAACCAGGTACCTGTGTCCTTAATTGAAAAAATTATTTCAGGTAAAACCGATAAAACTATTATGGGAGAACTGTACCCATACATCAAAGAACAGAATACATACAAATATAGCAGCATTAATTGCTCAGGTAAACTTTCAGTGAATATTCAAAATTACTTTTCCAAATTCAACATAATAACATCTTTCATAAGTAATAATAATTTAGGCAAAATCATATTCAATGCAAAACCTAGACGTGACAGATTGAAGAAATCTGGCATATATAAATTAGAATGTAGTGAATGCTCTGCAGTATATACAGGCCAGACCGGTAGAAATTTCGAAGTAAGACTCCGTGAACACGTCGGTTTAGACAAAAAATCTTCTATGTACGAACATCTACAAGAAACAAACCACAAAATAAGTAAGGAAAACCTCAAAATCTTACATACATGTAGTAAAGGAAGGAAAATGAATTTGTTGGAAGCCATGGAAATCAATAAATCAATTCAAAATTCAAAATATAGAACCCTTAAGGAACAAACAGATTTGTGTAGGTCTCCACTTTTGAATTTATAAAGATGACAACGTAATTGATCACAGTTTGAAGTTTATGTAGTTGGTATTAATGGATGTAGGTATATATCTTATTACCTACTCTCGGATATATATACTCCGATATTTCTCTTAGGTCAGTAGTGTTAGAATACTTGAGAATGGTGTAAAAACCGAAACCTTGGTCGTAATAATATCAATACATTAAGTGAGTGGAAATTAGACAAAGTATTTTATTTCTATATCTAAATCATTTAATTTTCACCGGAATTAACAGGCTGACACCCTGTTCTTTCGTCATCCCACGCACCGATTTTGATGGGTCAGTCTCCACCAGGGTCATCAGTATATTCCAAAATTCAATATCTTATCAATATAGGAAATGGCAACACGTTCCTTATTGAAACCAAGTAAAAAACTTCAGAACAAAATTAAAAGGTGAATGTTCAAGTTGAACTACATTCAACTTGTATAAACCAAAAAAACTATTAGATTTGTCATTCTTACACAAATTCAAATTATGTACCTTCATTCATTTGGCCAAAAATTAGCTCAAACATTCAAATTTGACTTTCAAAATCAATGGTGACTAGCACAACCATTTGACAAGATGACAATATTGGGCAAAATTCGATTGATTATAAAGATATCAAATTTTACAATGAGCTACCGAATGCTTTGAAAAAATTTAACAAATCAAAAGTCCGGATTTATTCGAATAAATAATAATTATTGTTTGTATAGATATATTATCTGATGAGTGCATTTATGCAAAAACACATGACATTGAAACGAACCAAACTTTTGAAACAACCAGAGGAAATATCAAATTTTCTCATAAATTTTCGGCATGTTAACTCCCTGTTCTTCACTTGAATAATATCGATAATTTTATTATTAGACATTGCGGAATGCACAAGCAGGCTTCAACAACTATGAAGATCGATCTTTCCAACCCATTATTCACAAGTTACTTGAGATACAGGGTGAAGTACCTAATTTTGCTAGCGATGAAGAGATGCTGCACCATCTTGTCACACTATACTCAGCAGTAAGTACAACAAATATTCACCTGATAATAATGTTATACCTCACTAAACTAATAATTGAAAGTGCACTTTTCTCAATCACCAGAAACTTCTTCATCTGCTGAAGACGCCAATTTGGTTCGTGAATCGCGCGCCGAGAAGAGTGTTGCATTTCTGGTGATTGGAGAATGATCTTGTTTTGAATTTATTCCACGCCAGAGGTTCAAGTTTCATCTTTCATTATTCAGTTATTGTGAAATATTTTGATTTTGTTGTTTGATTTCTTTGTATCCATCGCCTTGGAACAAGTCCCAGAAGACTTTCCAAGGGCCAAATTTATTCATTTCCACTTTCCCTCCTCGATTTTTTATATTTCAATGGAAACAAATATTATTATTATTATTATCTTTGAATTTCAGGCCGAAGACACCATTACCTCCATTGTGTCTTTTACTCTTGTTCTCCTTGGAATGTACCCCAACATCCAGAAGAAACTTGTGGACGAAGTACTCGATGTTATGGGCGAAGACAAGAAGGAAATTGAAGAAAGCCAGTTGGACAAATTTGAGTATCTTGACATGGTTGTAAAGGACGTATTGCGGTTATTTCCTATTGCAGCGTTCATCGTCAGACAGACGGAAGAAGACGTTCGGTTAGGTGGGTGATGAAATCAAAAACCGTCGAAAAAATATTCATGAACTTCTCAACGAAGTTTCATCTTAAGAAGGTTTATGATAATTACAACATTTTTCTTTCTGAAAAATATTTTGAATTTACCCCGTAGCTAATCGGGGCGAACTAAAAAATTTGCCGTTCAAGTATTACTTAAGCATATTTATCACCCCCACCTCCCTTGTCAGCAAAAGTAAGCAAAGCTCTCGCATCCTCCCATGCTTACGTAAACATAGCTCTCCCCCTCCCATGCTTACGTAAACATAGCTCTCCCCCTATGCTTACGTAAACCTAGCTCTCTCCCCTCCCATGCTTAAGTAAACATAGCTCTCCCCCCATGCTTACGTAAACCTAGCTCTCTCCCCTCCCATGCTTAAGTAAACATATTCTGAAAAATATTTTGAATTTACCCCGTAGCTAATCGGGGCGAAATCAAAAATTTGCCGTTCAAGTATTACTTAAGCATATTTATCACCCCCATCTCCCTTGTCAGCAAAAGTAAGCAAAGCTCTCACATCCTCCCATGCTTACGTAAACATAGCTCTCCCCCTCCCATGCTTACGTAAACATAACTCTCCCCCTATGCTTACGTAAATTTAGCTCTCTCCCCTCCCATGCTTAAGTAAACATAGCTCTCCCCTCATGCTTACGTAAACCTAGCTCTCTCCCCTCCCATGCTTAAGTAAACATTGTTATATGTATTTTCTTTTAATGTATACTGTTTTTTTTTCCATTGATTCATGAGCAACAGTTATAAGAAAATAGATTTAAACAAACGGTATTACGAACAAAACAAAGTGCTTCAAAATTCTTGGTATACATATTAATTTCCATTAATTTTCAGGTGTCCATGACACCTGAATCCATGATTCTGAATTTTCAATGTCATTGGATGTTTGCTGCGCAATGTTGCGTGTCTGCTCACTTTCATCCAACTTTTGGAATGTCTACGCCGTTCTCATTGAGCCATTCAACATCGTGGTCCTCTAAATTTTGAATAATGCACATCAGTTCATTAGCACGACGAGCAACGACTTAGGCCAGCTTGACATCAGGGTGCGTGTTAACTTTTTTATGGATCTTCTCGATGTGACGATCAAGTGACTTGATGGAAGCATGATAAAGACCACACGTTTTGCATGTTCGACTTGATAGCTTCAATTTTACCGCCGGATAAAAATAATCGTAAGGCATTTGCAGGAAATTCTTGTGTGAAGCATTAAAGCGTAGTGCTAAATTGACTGGAAGATTGAGAATTTGCCCTCCATCATCCAAAATCAAGTCATCAAATGTTTGTTTTACTTTTACTGGTGGGGGAAGAAACCTGTTGTCTCGTAATCTAAAAAGGCCACCTCATTCTATGTTTCTACATTTTACAATTTCAAGCATGTATTGGTTTTCACGCACATGTTCTATATAATGAGAATTTTCTTTGCTGGTATCTTTTTGGCAACACTGTTTTTGACAGATCACGCGTGAATCGTGTCTTGTGTCACTGTCAAACTTGTTCAGTTTGGTCTATTAATTGAACCATGAATCGACTAACGAATGAACAACGCTTGCAAATTATTGAATTTTATTATCAAAATTCATGATCGTTGAAGAAAGTGCATCGTGCATTTGTTCCAATTTATGGGCAGTTTCGTCGGCCCACTGAGGGAGCTATTCGGAAGCTTGTGAGTAAATTTCGAACCCAGTTTACATTATTGGACATTAAACCAGCAACACGCATACCTAGAGTGAGGAAATATTTCGGCTGTATCCGCCAGTGTTCGTGATGACCGTGAAATGTCGATTCGCCGCGGTTCGCAGCAATTGGGCGTCTGGATTTCTCCACCACGTGGAAAATTTTGCGAAAGGATTTGGTTGTAAAACCTTAAAAGATACAGCTGCTGCAAGAATTTAAGCCACACATCCCGAAAAAGTCACTGTTTTGTGTGGATTATGGGTCGGTGGCATCATCGGGCCGTACTTCTTCAAAGACGACAATGGCCGGAACGTTACTGTGAATGGCGAGCGCTACCGTGTGATGATTGAAGACTTTTTGTTGCCCAAAATGGAAGAATTGGACATGCATGACATGTGGTTTCAACAAGACGGTACCACATGCCACACGGCAGGCGAAACAATGGCCCAATTAAGACCCAACTTCGGTGAACAGTTTATCTCATATCTCAATAACTATATTAATGATGTTGAAGTTGTTTTTGATGATGATGAAGATGATTTATGATGTAACTAAAGCGTCTGAGAGGAATGTCATATATAACCAATGATATAACCTAGTGAATAAAATGAATTTTCATAGTTTATTTTTGTTCAACCAGTACTTGCCTTATTATAATTTGGTAGGTTTTTTATTCTTTTTCAGGGGAATGTGGAAGAATCGTTCAACTGACCTAACACAACTCCTTTTGTTTTGCAGTCTTCTTTGGGTTGTTTTACAGTTCTTTAATTATTTTACCGGCAAGCAATAAACAATTTATTATTATTATTATATGAGTTACGATCATTTATTTGAAGAAGGCATGCAGGTTGTTTCATTTTGATTGGTTTTAAGTAATTATCTATTCGACTATCGTAATGATTGAGCTGGAGTCTGAATAAGACTAAGCTAATTCATCAGATTGCTCTTTGCTCCATGAATTGAATATTCGCCTGTCCGTAATGATTACTACATGAGTATTCACATTTTTCAGAACAGTGGCTGATCCCAAAGGGTTGTTCGGTTATGGTTTCTATTTACAACATCCATAGAAACAGTAATTACTGGGAGAAACCAAATGAATTTCATCCGGATCATTTTTTGCCCGACGCAGTTGGAAAAAGGCACCCGTTTGCTTTCATGCCATTCAGTGCTGGTCCAAGAGGATGTCTTGGTGAGTATGCTCAAAATCTTCAAATGTTCCAAAGAAATGTACTGAATATATACGGTGCTCATTAAATGACGATAATGATAAACGTTTCCGTTACTACCATCAACAACAATAGAATAGCGTAAAGTAGCGAATGGTAAAATAGAACAGCGCTCTTCCACAAAACCATATAATGGGACCAGTTGCAAGCACTAGTTCCAAGAGACAAAAAAAGTTAATCCCTACATGACAGTAAAAATGCAACATCAAGAAACTAGTAAACTATTGATCATGGTGTGTAGGGTTTCACGGCCGGTGATTAATTTGTTTGTTTGTTTCCTGGGCTTATTAGCCGTGGTCTGCAGACTTTTATACCTGACGTTTCGTCTGCTACTGTGGCATACATTATCAAAGGCAATACAGCAACGGTCGAAGTGATCTACCTTGCGGCGATGCGCAAATTGAAAATCCGATTGATCATCTTGATTTACTCACGCTGGAGCCTAGCTTTCCTACCCTTCCAACGTGTGTTCGTTAGGAGGACGAATGAGATACAACTGACTGGAGATTGATGATGGCATGATGGTCCTCAGACATTCAAATTGCCCTTCACGATGTACCCCTACCTGGCTGGGGTGATTGGGTGAGAAAATTATTCATCTGTTAGCTAAGGATTTGAGGGCCTTATTCGACTAAGTGTCGGCGCTTTCTATTTCAGGTGGGGTCATCTACAGCATAATCGATAGTTATGCTAGTAGCATAACACGCTAAGAAAGCGTGTTATGCCGATTTATCTGTATGGCCATAGAAGCAACTTCTTTTATGCTTAGAACGAAACACAACTACACGATATTCGGTATACTCCTGGGGTACTTGATGGGGTCTTTTGCTGATCTGAGACCATTCTCTATCGTTCTTGTGGGCTTGAAAATGGTCATAACTCCATGTTTTTCTAGGATCCTTTCAATTCAGTCCGTCACACTGCTTATGAAGGGCACAAAAGTTCTTTCATTAGCCCTTCAATCCACTGCCACCGTGGTGGGTTTCTGTATGGTTGGGTTGATTTCGGCCTCGTTATTTCTGTTATTTATAAACGCATTTCCTCTTGTAGTCTTTGCGGTTCGCCGTCTACCGGTTCTAACAGATTCTTAACAATCTCTCTTTTCTGTCGCGGGTGATGATTGGAATTCTTATTCAAATATCGTTCCATTGTGAACTTGAATTTTATGGATTCCAGCAGAAGGGTCGGAAAATTCGCCGATCAGACCGGCTTCGGAATGTTTCAAGCATAGTACTTAACATCATACTTCTATTTCGGCTACAATTATGATTTGAAAAACATGGGTTTGTCCATAATTTCTCGGCCCTGTACCTCCAAAACAATTCCGATTGAAATCCTATTGAAGTTTCACTTGACTCATTACATTATCTTTAAATAATTACAACTATTTCGTTTCCCACGTTAAAAATTATAGAATTTTTACAATAAATTTCGTTCAAGATGCGTTTCGATACAAGGTAGCTTCCTCGGTTACTGCTACATCAAACTATTCCACAATGAAGCTAGCAGAACCCGTCTTGAATAAAATTCATTGTGAAAATTCTGTAATTATCATCATCGATAGATTCATTAATTTTCATCGCAGTTATTATATTTCTTTTTCTTTACCTTTTTCAGGAAAACCGTATGCATACATGGCTCTGAAGATAATGATTGTAACGATACTACAACATTTCCACATAGAATCCGATGGAAAACTAGAAGACAAAAAATTGAAGATGGATATCAGCATTCGTTTCAAAGATGGATATTATCCTGTTCGACTCCGGAAAAGATGATGTAGCAGGTTTAAAAAATTATCATCGTGATGGCTGTATTACGTATAGTTCAAGGCAATTTCTAGAGAAAGTTTCATTATGTAATAAATGTAGACTCAGGACGCTCTTACGAAGATTTTTGGAAATTGTTTTGCTTATACTATCAATATAAAGACGTTGATATTACTACTTAGTACTTATTTTCCTTCGTCGTTTAACAGTTGCTTAGAACCGACTCGTCAAATTTTCTGGTTACGTTTTGTTATCCAAATGAAGGGTGATGGAAGTTATGGAGCTCCACAAGGGTCGGTTCTTGGTCCTCAGTCAAGCTGCTGGAAAATAATTCCATAAAAATCGGAAGATAAGTACTATTCTGATCAATCTCATATTGTTTTCAATTTAAGATCCATCGGTAGACAGCTATTTCAGCCTGTTAGACATCGTCAGTACCGGGCAGGTGGTCTTCGATTGAAGACAAAATGTGGAAAGTCATCGTGGTTTTGATCAGGTTGGAACCTGGCGAGTCATAAGACACATAAGTGGAACCACCTATTGGTGTAACACCCAAAGTGAACTTGCCAAGTTTTCATGTCAGTGTTGGTGATTTGACCAATCAATCGACAACTGCGGTAGCAGAAATTTGGAAGTTATCATGGAATGCCATCGAAAAAGGAATCCACATGTTTCTAGAAAGGATTTGAAGTCGAGAAAGGCTAATACACTTAAGCTGCTGGAAAATAATTCCATGAAAATAAAAAATAAATAGATAAGTACTATTCTGATCCTTTCCATATTGATTTCAATTCAAGAGCCACCGGTAGACACCTGTGTCAGCCTGTTGGGCATTGTCAGTACCGGGCAGGTGGTCCTCGATTGAAAACAAAATGTGAATAACCAACAAAAGTACTTGATTAAAATAACTGAGTAAACGCAAGCGAGACATAAGTGGAACCACCTATTGGTGTGACACCCAAGTCAATTTGCCAAGTTTTTATGTCAATCGAGGAAGGTTAATGCAGTCAAGCTGCTGGAAAATAATCCCATGAAAATCAAAAGAGAAGTACTATTCCATCAGTAAACAGCTGTTTCAGCCTATTGGGCATCGTCAGTACCGGGCAGGCGGTCCTCGATTGAAGATGTGACGTAATCCATCTTGATTTTATTCAGGTTGAAGCCTGGCTCCCTTCCCCTTTTAACTGATATTGAAATGCGATGACGACGTAATCCATCTTAAGTTTATTCAGGTTGAAGCCTGGCTCCCTTTCCCTTTGAACTGATGTTTGCCAGAAAGACAAACGGGTCATGACTGATGTTTGATGGTGGCATGAAAGTTCTCAGACATCCATACCGCCCTTCGCGGTGTACCCCTACCTGGCTGGGGTGAGATGGATGAAGATATTATTCATCTGTTAACGGAGGACATAGGGGCCTCATTCGACAGAGTGTCGGGGCCTTCTTTATCGGGAGGGGTCGTCTACAGCGTAAATACAGCGTGATCTATAGCTTCCCTGACTAACGTTGAAGATGTGAAAACCCAAGAAAAGTACTTAATAAAAAAAAACTGCGTAAACGCAAGCGAGACAAGTGGAACCACCTATTGGTGTGACATCCAAGTCAACTTGCCAAGTTTTTATGTCAGTGTTGGTGGTTTGACCAATCAACCGACAACTGCGGTAGCAGAAATTTGGAAAGCTCTCCTAGAATGCCATTGGAAAACGAATCCACAGTTTCTGAAAATGATATAAAATCGAGCAAGGTTAATACAGTCAAGATACTGGAAAATAATTCCATGAATATCAAAAGATGAATAGATAAGTACTATTCTGATCATTCCCATATTGATTTCGATTTAAGAGCCACCGGTAGACAAAAAAATTGAAATTTTGAGAAAAATTAACAACAGCAATATATAGAGTACAAAGTTATCTTTCGATCAGTATATACCAAGACACAGTAGAATAAATATTCATTGAGATGAGGAGCTACAAAAACAATGACATTTAAACGGGCGAAACTCTTGATATAACCTAATATATGTTTATGCAACTTGACTCATATGTTCTGTCTGTTAATATCTGTTTTCCGATAACCGGCTAACACGAACAACAACCCTCAAATCTGAAAACTGGTGCGAACTGTGGATTAACGAGGTCTTACCTTTTGACGTGCGATACTTACGTAAGTAAAAATACTCTGTATGAAAATACGGATCGAATGACAACTCGATCATAATTTTTGTGGAGGTAAATATCGCGAAATGGTACTTGTGTACTATTAGTATCTATAGAGTTGCGGAACAAATTTATCTGTCCAAGGCTACAAAAAAGACATTCGTAATAGATTTCTAACGGTTTCATATTGTATTACGTTAGTTTCTTCACTACATGTCACTGGTGAACTAGTTCAAACATTTCAAAACAATTTTAATTGGATTTAGGAACGTGAACAATTTGACGCTGTTTTTTGCATTATCAAACTTTAGTTCCCCGAAAAGTAGACCTTCCGCTAAGATTAGCTACCTTTTGCAGCGACATAATTACTCCCTAATTCACAATCTTAATTCTTCATTTATATTCCGGTATGGCATTAAAGCGAAAGTGAGTTCATCAGCACGAACTATTGCGTAGAGTAAATCTAGGTAGTCGGTACTTGCTCACTCGTTTATTTGCAATATAATTTTGTATTACTTCATAAAATGAGACGTTTCAGTGAATTTGTGTGACTAATTTCGCATAGATCATTATTTGCTGTGATTGAACGTCAGGCGTCAAGAAGCAGTTGTCCTTCAGGTAAGAAAAAACACAAAAAACCGATTAACGTTTGTACTCTTCAAATATACCAGCGTGAGTGTGATAAAACAAAGGTAATGAGCCATAATGAACATTTGAACATTCAAATTAGTTGTGCACCGGTGCAAACAATTATTATTTAACCCGCGTTAGATGGTTACTCATGAATGACGCAAATCTCTTCATATTCCAAATTTACGATTTACTATACCAATACATCGTATTTGCACATGGTGTCAATTCGAAAACATACCAACCTTGATATTTCCGTTCTGTGAAAAAACATTTAAAATCGGAGCCAATTGCATTTTGCAAGGAGAATATTATACGGTTTATAGGCTATTCAATTCCTGAAACTCGAAAAATTGGATATCAAAACAGTGGTATTGAGGATTCTATATCCACGTTCATATTTCCATTACTGGTGTTGGTAGGCGGTTGTTTTATCGAATTTAATTTTTTTCTGCAGCATAATGTTTATTTTCCATCGAATCATCTAGATATCCTTCCGCCACAGATATTGACTTCCACCCTCCATGTCCCTTCAAAGTAGTGGTGTCTCCTGCATTCACTAGCAGGGTGGTAAATGATCTTCGTAACGTATGCCCAGTATAAAGTTCTGGAATTGTATGTTTTCAAACGTTGCGATCTGTTTTCCCTCAGCTCCGAAATGATTGGATCCAATTCTTTGATTGGTGCATTTACCTTTCTGATAATTCGAAAAAACGAAGCTTTTTGATACATTAGTCAATAAAAATGATTTGTTTACCCAAACTTCCGAACTATATTCGTTTTAATATTCGGTATTGTTTTTCCTCGTGGGTTGGTCAATAATTGACTACACTGAATAATCAAACTTAACTTTATTTCACTTCAAATACAACAAATATTTCAACTATTATTCGAATATATATCGCCTTACTGGATCACTTCGCGTACCGCACTGTAGCTTCCACTTGACTGTGTCGATATGCTCGCGGCTAGCGTTTTCATATCGTAATTGAATGCGCTAGAAAATTTCCCCGAGATTCCGTCGAAATCGGTAGCATTAATCTCGCTGCTTCTAAAGTGGCGGGGGAATCATCGTGGACTCGCGCGCTCTTAGCCACGTCACGCCTGGTTTAGGGCTACCAGTGGCGGACGGCGTTATTTTCTTTCGGGTATAATTGACAACACTATAGTGACTTAAATAACAGATCCAAGATCTTTTCATTAAGTGCTGTCCATTTGCACGACAAGCTCAAAAATCTTCATTTACGATTTGATATATACAAAAACATCTCTATCATAACTGTAAACTCTTCAAGGAAGTGAAGAGCGGGAGAAAAGAAAAAACTCTGAACAAGACGCGTCCTCACGACCCGCCAAGTACTCACGGTATTGAGAGCTCGCCAGTTAATAGTTAATATAGCTCCTTCTGGCACCTGCTGCCTGAAGCTTATGAGCCACTTATCCTGAGATTGAAATAAAGTCGATCAAAGATCTCACTCGCTGACTATCGGATTTATAACAGAGACTCGCGAAAAAAAGCGCATGCTGTAAACCGGGTTAGAACGTTTGATATTAATTTCTGGTTATCGGGTCCAACATTGAAATCAAATTCGAGCCGAAAATACTCGTTTTCAACTCATCAGCACCTGTTTGAATAACTCAAAAGACGAAACATTAATTTCCTGAATGAGATTTACTGAACTATATCTATCCAACAAACAAAAAACCAAAAAAAGGTAGATGCGTGATCAAAGCATGATTACCATGCACTTTTGTATCGAGTGGGTGTGGTGTGTATTTTCAATTATCACCCTGTTATTTGAATCTCTACTTTCCCACTCACCTATATATATTATATAGTTATTGTGATTCTTATAGAATCAGAAATGATTATTGAATAACGAAATTAGTTAGCTCCCTAGTATTTGCTACGCAATTCCACTATTCTTCTGCTTTCTATAACTGCTTGAAGTTTGTTTATTATTTTGAATCTAAATCCAAGTTTCTTTATCCAATTCTGAAGAGTTTTGCCATAGCAGCTCACGTTATGGCCGGAAGAATTCAATTTCTTCCTTATGATTGCAGTTGTAGGAATCCCATTCACTTTCTAACAGTCATATATTGTTTTTTCAATGATTTTATTAGATGAGCATCTAAAGGTTTTGGTAATCCTGTATCACATCGCGTCTTGCGTTCATAAAGTTTCTTTTTGACTATTTTACGTACAGTTGAGAAAGGAATTTCGGTCAAATCTGGTGTTGCTTTTAATAGTTTTTTTCCCTCGAAACCAAACTTGAGATGTAGATTCTTAATTACATTGAAACATACTCTATGTGTTATTCAAATGCATCCGAATCTTATTCACTTGTATCTCTTTTTCGCGTTGTTCACCATCACTTCACTGGA